CAAAGTAGAAACTTAAGCTCCATCCCAACTCTATTTGGGCTTTCTAGGTAACAGTGGGAAATTTAGAGTTCATTCATATATATCCCCACACCCAGATTTCCCCAACCCAGCTATCCACAATCCTGCCTATACCAAATTCCATGATCTGGGACAATTTTCTGTATGGCCTTCCACCTGCCTCCAATGAGGCAGACAAAGAGCTACGGTTAGTACAAAGGTGGAACAAACGTGTCTTTCACACAGTGGCGTAAGATTGGAGGCATGCGTTGGAAGGCTTGGGGAGGCAGGTTGGCAGGGAAGCTTTCCCCAGCAAGACCTCAGAAAGGAAGGTGGGGAGATGGAAACTGGATGAACAAAGAACCATTGCAGAGCTCAGAGGAAACTCCAGGGTGGGGAACAAGCATGAATGGGAACATGGAGCAAGGCACAGTTGACTACAGGGAGACGTGAACAGAAGTGCTCTCAGCTAATACACAAGTGTGAGATCATGGAAAATCCCAGGACAGGCGTGGGGGGCTGCTTCAGTGAACCGAGGAAAGAACTAAGATGGCAATTATGAGGACAGGAAGACCACCATGTCCACTAAGGATAACTTGTGATGCTCATCCTTGGGAAATGGAAGCCAACGTCCCAGGTGGCTGCTCTCATCCAGTGTCCCTGACATGTTGCCACAGGCAACGTGAGCCCAGAGCCTGCCTCCAGACTCCTCACGGCTCCCTTTCAGTTCTGTCCCATGGCTCACCTGTAGTGTTGCACAACTCCTTGGCCTCTCCACCCTACTCCTCAGACTGTAAGTGGAGATGATGGTGGCACCTGCCCCACAGTTACCATGAGAACTGGCTGAAATACTGTGTGGGGCAGAACAAATGCTCACACTGAGCTTTTATTTAGAGGAAGACACTGGGCGGTCACGACAGCCGCTCTGTGTCAATTCTCAGGCCCAGGGGCATGAGGAAGGCCTGTAAAACCAGATGCGTCATTAGTCATTAGTGGTCACCTTTTAGGTAGGTTACCTTCATTATGAAAATATCGCTTCACAAACCCTGCCCTCAGAAGTGGCTATTTTATTTTATAGGGTTTCAGCTCAAAGGTCGGCAAGCCTTTCTGTGTGCACACTGTTTAGGTGTGTCCATCATAAACCTGTGTCTGTGTGGTACAACAGCCACATGTGGCCGGTGGCTCCCAATTGCAGTTCTTCAGTGATCTGCCTGGAGTGTGAAAGGGTGTTCGTGGTTGATTGGAAGAAGCCACATGAGCCAGAGAGCAGGCTGTCAGCATCATGAGGAACCAAACCCATGCAGGGAGGCCATGCAAAGCTTTCTTGGGCACATCTTAACTGTATTGCATAAGATAGCAAAGGAAACGGGGCTACTTTTAAGTGGGGGTTCTATGAAAATGCAAACCTCTTGGGGCTTAGGGGCCTTGGATCTGAGATGAATAGTTTATGCTTGGTTTGTGGCTGTCCTGCTGCAGTATAGGGACTGCACCAGAACGTGCAGGCTCTGAATGCACAGGACCCTATCCTGAGGTCCCGTCAGGACTTGTTTCACTTGTGGCAATGAAGGCTGCTTTGGCTACAAGTGACCTTTTAAAACTTATCTTTGCAAAGAGGGGCTGCTGAGGTGATTCCCTACATGTGCAGTGTGAGTAGGAGGACAGACAGGACACAGAGCATGCAGAGGGTCACCTGCTGAACACTGCGCGCCCGGCAGGAAGGTGGAGTAGGGGGAGGAGAGAGGGAGATGACTTTTTTGGGGCAGGTCCGAGCACGCTCCTTGTCCTGTCGCTTTTATACCAACAGACACAAACAGAAAGAATGCTGTTGAAACAGGGGTCTAAGTGGAGATTATTCCCGGCGGGGCGAGGAGCATTTGCATATTTGCAAAGCATCCCAAGAGGCCCCTTCCCTGACCACCATCCACCCTCTACAGCACCTCGCTCTGTGCCCAGGGGGTGGCTCATCACAATCTTTTGTCTTTCATGTTGGGCCAGAGCCTTAAACTGAAAGGCTGGTGAGAACTTTGGTGTAATGCTCTCTAATGCCAAGGGATAAGGGCTTTATCAGAGAAGGAGAGAGAAAAGGCAGATGGGCCCACATGGGATAGCCCATGACCTCTGCACACCAGACCACATGTAGCAAAGCATGTTTTTCCCCAAGTCACGTCCCATCAATGCCCCCTGACTCACACACAAGAGTTCTGAAAACTACAAAGAAATGCCAGGAAATGGGCTCTACAAATTAACTGCCCTTGTTCTGCTGTACCACACATGCCCTTGTTGTGGGCTGGTCCATGTCAGAAAGGAGCTTCTCAGCATCTGAGAAACAGCCATGCATTACCCTGGACCTCTCTGGCACCTTCCAGAGAATTCTCAGCTTCCTTTATCCAGACTGCTGTACTGGGGGGAAAAGGGCAGGGGTGGGGAGGATTGTGGCAGCCAGAAGGTCAGAGAAACATCCTCCACTGTGTGTTCCCACCTCACTTAACAATCTGCTTCCAAATCTAGGCTGGTTCGTGTGCAGTTTGTCGCAGGATACACTTCTTAGATCAAAAGGAAAAGGGGAGGGCAAAGGACGAACTGCAGTGTTTACACTGGAAAGAACAGCACAAAAACCACTGGCAAGCAGGGCTGTTATCCAGTTTCCTTCTACATGATGACCTAAGTTGGAACAGGCCCTCATGCCAACTCTGCCATGGCTACCACGCCTGCCACGCCTCCCGTCTCAGTAGGAGCCACTTCAAGAGACACACGCAGTGAGTGAGTCACAGTGCAGCGCTGTCTGTCGGAGGTGAGTGGCTAGCCAGCAGCAGCCTAGGCACACGGGCTCCGAGTTCCCATTCTTGGGGGCATCTGAACACATCTCTGGCTTTCAGGAGATACACTGAGAGGACCAAACCCAATGAGTTAAGAAATGATGGATGGAAAATGATGAATGTGAGTGTCTGATATTCCACTGGCATAAAATGTGGCACCAATACAGACACTGAAGTCTGTAATTTCCGAAAGCACTTAATGATCTAAACTGTTACCATTGCTCAAGATGACCGGGGCTCACGCCATCTTTCACGCCACCAGCTACAGGCTACCAGTATAGTACTTCATTGATGGTGACAATATAGGAGCCAGATGGCAAGCTGAACAGGCAGAAATAACAACAACAACAACAACAAACAACAAACAACAACAACAATAACAACAAAAGACAGTCTCTACACGGGTCTTGGCATAATGCTATGAGCTTCATGAGTGGCCTGTGTATAACCAGGTTCCAGGTGACCTTTCAAGCTGACAGACAGATCTTTGCCATGACAGAGGCCAAGACCCAGCAGGCTGAGACACACACACACTGCCCCCTCCTTCCCAGAAGCCCAACAAAGCTACAGCAATACAGGCCGCACACAGACCCACCCATGTCCCCACATCCCCATGACACCCGACCTTCCTGCTATTCTGTTCTAATCTCAGGCCTTTTCTAGGAAGAATAAGACTTGACACTTCCAAACTTCTGGTTTAAAGTTTACCTATTCCCTTCCATAAAGACTTCATGCGCCAGGCGGAGGCGGCGCCCAACTTTAATCCCAGCACTCGGGAGGCAGAGGCAGGTGGATCTCTGTGAGGTTGAGATCAGCTTGGTCTACAAGAGCCAGTTCCAGGACAGTCTCCAAAGCCACAGAGAAACCCTGCCTTGAAAAACCAAAAACAAACAAACAAACAAAAGACTTCGTGCAAGCTGGGTGGTGGTGGCGCACGCCTTTTGTCCCAACATTTGGGTGGCAGAGGCTGGTGGATCTCTGTGAGTTCAAGGCCAGCCTGGTCTACAAAGCGAGTTCCGGGATAGGCTCCAAAGCCACAAAGAGAAACCCTGTGTCAAAAACAAAACAAAAAAACCCCAATTCTTGATGACATTTTCAGAAGGCCTCCCACTATGAAATGGTTTCTACTGGGGGGTGTGTGTGGCGTCTGTTGTGAGTTTGGACACTGCTCCAGCATTCTCTCTCTCCCTTACTGGGCCCTGCCTTCTGTGTGTTGTATTATTACAAGGTTAGAAAGGAGTATTTTCTTTAAAATGCAATTTCAGTAACATCCAACTCACCATTCCCCAGCACTTCCAGGCCCCAGAGCTGATGAGGCTGATCATGGGAGAGGCTAACAGAACCCAGGATCAGCTCTCCCTATCCAAATGAAGTGACCCTTGCTATGAGGATGCTCATCGAGCACCCTGTCCCCAGCAACAAACTAGTCACCAGCGACACTAGGGAGAAAAGAGCAGGCATTTCCCACTCACTGACAAGTTTCTTCTGCCCAACGAGTGGGTCCCTCCTGTTACCAACTGTCTCAATAAGCAGTTTTCCAGGAGCCCTGAAAAGGTTTTAGTGGAAATCCCCAGAAGAGGTTTTTGTTCGTTTGTTTGTTGTTTGGGGTGGTACTAAGGATAGAGCCCAGGGCCTCAGGAAGCTAAGCAAATATCCTCCTACTGACTACAGCCATAACTCCTGAGCCCCCACCAAAGGATGTGGACAAAATTCCAAGCAGAAAACAAACAAAACAAAAATCCCAAAAACCCAACCCACAAACATTTTTGTATAGATCTGAAAGAAGCAAATTCATAGCTCACGATCACTTTCATAGGTATATTTCCCGATTCACACAAAAGGCACAAACCCCGGGTCTCAGGCATGACAAAGGTCACGTGGAAACAGGCTACTAAGGCCAATTTGGGAGCCATGTTACAACAGCAAAGACCCAAGGGCTCAAGTATCAGACCTTGACCACTTCCCATATCACTACCTTCAACACCGAGTTAACAGCCTTTCTAAGAGGCTCCTCAAATCCCAGGGAGTAAACACAACCACAAATCAGACTATCACTGTCGGTCAAATGTTTCCCAAAGACTGCTGGCACAGTGCAGAGCCTTTCTGCCTCGGCGAGCTGGGTTTTCAGGCGGGCCAGGGGCAGAGATGGGGTGAAAGGCCCATTCTAGACCCTAGCAAGACTTTTACCTGTTTCCACTGGGGGATGGGAGCAGGGCGACCCTGCTCAGGCGGGCAGCAGGACGGCTGGCTGACCCCACGCTCTTGTGTCGGCTATGACACACACAGGCCACGTATGAGTGGGGGCAGGTCATGGAGACAAAACAAAATAAAATACATTAAGGTAGGAGAAGACATAAAAAAGTACCTGTGGAGGACAGACATATATCCATAAACCGTGAGGGGGCAGGCAAAGTTAACTCTCAGGAAGTTATGTTAAGAAAGGAAAGATAGTAGCCTCCCCCAAACCAAGAACAAGTGCAAACACAGGGAAGGATAAAATGGGGGGGGGGTGTGGGGAGAGGAAAACAAGCTGTGATTCTTGTCATCATCTTCCCAAACTGAATTCTCTGGGGTCTACACTACTATCTGATTTGGAAAACTAATTCCCTTACAGAGGAGGAAAGCAACCTTCTTGCAGAGGCGACCTTCCACTGGGGGGCGCACTGTCCTCCTGACATGGGGCTGGCAGAGCGCAGCAACCTCTACTGCTCCAGGGAAAGTTACCATCCCTGCTGCCACACAACAGGACACTAACCCAAAGCCAGGTGTGAGAGGCAAGTGAACGGTTGCTGCCTGACCCCCAGGAGTTATGGTCTGTGGGCATGGAGCAGAGGAAGAGAGAGAACGGGCCCTGTCCTGATGCTCTCTCAGGTTATCAGGGAGCATGCAACACAGTTCAGAGAGATTTTCAAAACGCTAGCCCCCTCCTCTTTAAAGAGGCAGAGTGACATTCGCAGAGCAAGGGAGAGACAAGATGTGGCACTCCAGGCCAGGTGCTGCCAGCTTCTGACGCGTAGCTTATCTTTCAGAAGTCTCCTCCTAAATGGGTCCCATTCCTGGAATGGAATCTTCGCTCACAGAAGCAACAACAGAGGAGACCTTTCTATCTTATCCAAGATGAGAAGCAACTAAAACACCCACCACGCTACAGACAGGGAATGGCACAGTGTATACACACTCTGAAGATGGCTGTGAGCTGAGAAGACACAGGAGTATGCCAGGGTCAAAAACAAAAGGCGGATTCTAAGGAAGTGTGTCCTCAGAATGGGCTCCGCCATGAAAACAAGGATGTCCTGAGAAAAAGTCCAGAAAGAAATAGTATTGTGGGTGTCTTAAGCACCTCTGGTATACTTTCCAGGTTTCCTTCTCTGTCATAGTCTTCTTGTTCTTTTTCTTGAGATGTTGTATCATCATGTAACCCAAGCTAGCCTTGAACTCACAATCTTCTTGCCTCAGTTTCCCAAGCACTGCATTTCCACCATGCCAGCTACAGGTTTCCTTTGTAATTTCAGTATGTATACGTGTGAACATATGCATGTGTTTAGTCGTCCAGACAAATACTTTTTAAGATCTCTCTGCTGATTTTGGTCATAGACTCCTCAGACCTGACGTGAAGCTAATGCAGCCCTGAACAGGTAAGACAGACAAGAGCAAGCCCGGCCCATGAGTCCCGGGGTCTGTAGCATGACTCATCTCACTGCACCAAGAAGACCTTCCTTGCTGTGCCATCCGGCCCATTTGGAAGCAGAGCTTACCTGTCTCCTCACGCCAGTGGACTGTGCAGGCGCATTCTCCTCAAACTTTGCCAGCAGCTGGGTTGCCATATACTTTACTTTGTTCTGATTCCCGATGGCAGCATCCATCCGCCTGTCTGTCAGGGTGCTCACCAGGGTGGGTCTTTCTCCTCGGTAGCTCCGGGGGGGCTCCTCCTGCCCAACAGAAAGCACCCGAGAATCAGGATGGGTCACAGGGGACCACTGCCGCTCTTCTGTCAACGTGTGGGCAGGAACTGCACAGCAGCCTTAGGTTGCTTGACACAGCACTCTGCAAAGTTGTGACGTGCAGAGTCAGCAAGGGCCTAGGATGCAGGGCAGTGCCACAGAGCACATGGACTTGTGCTGGCATCACCAGATCTCAGCAAAGCCACAGTGCTTTGCCAAATGTGTGCTGAGAAGACACAGGAGTATGCCAGGGTCAAAAACAAAAGGGAGAGAAAGCCTGAGCGTACCTGTGTGCACATTCCTTGCTAGTTTCTGGAAAGCAAAATGAAGGCAAACGCACACAGAAGCTTTCATAACAGATGAATATGTAAAGATCTAGCGATGCCAATTTGAGAATTAATAACTTAAACCAGGTGGCCAAAGAGACGGCTCAGTGGTTAAGAGTGCTTACTGCTCTTGCAGAGGACCCAGGTTCCATTCCCAGCACCCACAAGACATAGCACACAACCACCTGTAACTCTAGTTCCAGCCAATCCCACGCCCTCTGGCCTCCATAGGTACCTGCACATAGATGGTGCACATAAACTCACACCATCGTACACCCAACGTACACATAAAAGCAAACAAACAAACAAACCCCCAAATCCTTAAACCAAAAAGGATAATTCAGTGCAATCGGTTCCCGACAAACCACGAGTCTCACCTCCTCTGACTGACTGGTTTTTCTCCTCTTTCCAGCCCCATCTGAATCCTTTTCCTTTTTATCCTGCACCAAGAGAAGACACAGACAGCATTAGACTTTCCTTTGCCATTAGCTCTGTAGTCACTATTAATGTGATACCGGTGTACACATACCTTGGGAGAACGCTTCCGAGAGATGGTCTGTCCAAGCTTGCTCAGGAAGGAGATGGGGGATTTGGTACTGGCTATCAGGATGGCTTTCTCCTCTGCATTCAGGTCCAAGGTGTCTGTGGACAGGAGTGAGCAATGTTTAATGAGAACAGTGCCACAAAGTCCTGCGCAGAACCACGCTCCCCCGGACCCCAATGGCTTACTGACTAAGGTAGAGCATTCGTGGCCATAGGAAACAGCAGATCTGGACACTTTCTTTTACACACACACACACACACACACACACACACACACACACACACACACACACGCACGCACACACACAAAACCAACCCCATTCCTGACACTTCAGCTGTAGCAACCCACGCTTCTGCAGGTTGGACTCTGCCCGTGACTATCAGCACACTGCTGAAATTCAATTTTGATAAAGAAAACTTCAGGTTGGGTGGACGGTTGAGAGATATGAGACATGGAGCTGTCAGTTTAGGGGACTGCAGAGGCCATGTTCTTAGCTGTGTCAGAAGAGGGGTTCTCAATGAATAGGGCTACTCAGGGCTCAGGGTTTGTGCTGTAAGAAATGCATATCCAGCTAGAAAAAGACACAGGTGCTATAAGGAGATGGGCTTGAAGACACTGTGGGGAGGAGGGCACCATTAACTGTGGATTCTAATTTAATTTACTATTATTATGGCGGGGGGGGGTACACACATGTGTTGGGGTCAGAGGACAACTTTGGGGAGTCATTTTTCTCCTGCCTCTCTGTGGGCTCCAGGGACAGAACTCAGCTGGTCAGGTTTTTATTGTCTGGTGGTAAGCACCTTTAGCCACTGAGCCATCTTTTTTTGTTTGTTTTGTTTTTTGAGACAGGATTTCTCTGTGGTTTTGGAAGCTGTCCTGGAACCAGCTCTTGTAGACCAGGCTGGTCTTGAACTCCCAAGTGTTGGGATTAAGGGCGTGCACCACCACCGCCTGGCACCACTTAGCCATCTTACTGGCTGCAATTCTAATACACTTACAGCAATAGCAATTTTGAGAATAGTAATTAGAAATAATGAGTTGCTAACATTTATTCAGTGCTCACTCGCCATTCTTAATACAATACAGTATTATTATATCTGTCACTTTCTTTTTACAAACAGGGAGACCAAAGTATAAGGAAGTCCAAGCAGCCTGCCCAAGGCTGAAAATGGAAATGCTGAACAAAACCCATATCAGACACTGTGGCCAACACTCTGAAGCACTGTGCTTATGTGACCGTAAGTGGTGTCGTAGGTAGCCTTAACTGTCAACTTGACATACCCTAGTGTCATCTGAGAGCAAAGTCTTGACTGAATAATTGCCTAGATCAAACTGGCCTGGGGGGGTGGTTGTCCAGATTATTCACTGACACAGGACCCAGCCCCACTGTTGGTGGCACTATCCCTAGGCAGGTGGCCCTGGGCTGTATAGCTGGCTAACCATTAGCCTGTGAGCAAATGAGCCAGAGAGCTCCTCTGAGCTTTAAATGGAAGACAGCGTTCCTCCTTGGCTCCTGTCTTCAGGTTCCTGCTTGAGCTCCTACCCCGACTTTCCCTCAGTGATGGATTGTAACCTGGATGTGTGGGCCAAATAAACTCTCTGCTCCCATAATTTGCTTTCGGTCAGAGCTTTTTATCACGAGCAACCACATGCACAAACACACACAAACCAAAAAATGAAAACAGAAAGGTGAGAAACAAGAAGAGAACTTGAGCTGGAAGATTCTTTGCAAGGTTGCAGGGCCCTTTGGGCAGAGCTCTACAAATGCTGTAGAGGTCATCGGGTACCACTTTTGCAGAAGGGACGTGCTGAGGTGGGGGAAGCTGGCAGAGTTGAGGAAAAAAAACCTCTGCGTACTTATAGGTAAAGTGAGAAACGGTCTTGCCAACAGCGTAAGGTTAAGAACACAGGGCTGGGGCTGGAGAGATGGCTCAGAGGTTAAGAGCACTGACTGCTCTTCCAGAGGTTCAATTCCCAGCAACCACATGGTGGCTCACAACCATCTGCTATGAGATCTGGTGCCCTCTTCTGGCCTGCAGGCATACATGGAGGCAGAGTGTTGTATATATAATAAATAAATAAAATCTTAAAAAAGAAAAAAAGAAACACAGGGCTGAGAAGGAACATGCGAAGGAAGGTTCTAGAGGCTGCCCTGCTGACCGGGCAGCAGGAGGCAGGATCCCAGCCTGAGCACCCAGGTCCTCACCGCTGGAAGAGAGTGAGTCCTTGAACATCTCGTAGAACTGGGTGAGGTACATCACCATGGACAGCTTGTCGGGCTCCGCCACTGATGCCATCTCCTTGCCTGTCATGATGGGAGAGATGCCCAGCTCCTTCTCAGCAATGTCAAAGGCTAGCTGGTTATTCTTCTCCACATTCTGCTCATCCAAAGAGTCAAAGTCTCTGAGAAGCATGACAAGGAGAAGTGGATCAAGTTGGGCTGACAGTCTCCAAACCAGAGCAGGACCGTATGCTCTGCTATGCCACTGCCATATCTCAGTCCCTGGGCCTGACACAGGACCGTGCACCACGGCCATCTCAGTCCCTGGACTAAGGTCCAGGGAGTGGGTCACCATCCCTGGATCAGAGCAGACGGCCTTTTCTCGACCGCATTCTTCCCTTCTGACTAAGGAAATGCACAACACCTTTGGGGAAAATGACTACCCAGCAAGATGAATGGGGCGGGGGTGGGAGGAGGTGTGAGGGGAGGGAGACAACCTGTGTCTTACACCGACACCAATTTCTTACTGTAATGTAAGCTCAGGGCAGGAACTGCATGCCTGTCCACACAGAGGAAACGAACGTCTGACAGTGACACACCTTGTCAGGTTAGGGCTCCCCGTTGTCCTGGGACTGCCGCTTGCCCCAACTTTCCCGTGAGGGAAAATTCTAGAAGCTTCTTCAAAAGGTGTTTCCACTGCTGACTCCCCTGAGTGTTCCCAGCATCTCCGTTCATACACGCCCTCCTCCCTAGGTCCCCCAGGTCTTAGCTCTCGCTACTCAAGGACGGCTGAGGTTTCTCAGTTGACTTCACTACCCTGGCATCTCTTGCTTCGTGTTAACCTATTGACCTCATGACTCCCCCCCCCCCCCCATTTAAAGCAAATTACTTTTCTCGTAGATCAAGCCTATTAAACCAAGAACACTCATCCTGAAAGCAGGCCAAACAGTGCTGAATCACACACTCACTGCTTTCTGGCCTCCCTCGGGCCGCCTTAGGGCGTTCTAACAGGACCCTCCACCCACACTCCATCCACCACCCCACAGCCTCACGGCTTCCTCACCTTGCCTTTGAGATGGAACTGACCCCCCCACTCCCAGTTTCAGCCTCCCTCCTCACCCCACTTCTCTGGTACAAATGACAAAACATTACTTTCATTTACTTGTTTTTTTTCTTTGACCAACTTTTGGATGAGCATCAGAGGTCATTTACTTTACATCAGAAATTCACCCCTTCTTTTAATTTTGCCTGGGAATTGAACCCAAAGCCTGGGTTCTGCTAGGCAAAGGCTACACTTCCACCTCTCCATATTTACTTATTCTTTTTTAGGAGACAGTTTCAATCTGAAACTCAGCTCTCCTGCTTGAGCCGCCTAAGGCTGAGATGGCAGGCATGCCTGGCTACAGTTGTTTTGTTTTGTGGTACTAGCGGATCAAACCCAGGGCCTTACACATGGTCCCCACTGTTAATCTACACCATGTGAGGCTGGTTTTATCACTTCTTGTATCATTAGCTTGCCAACATCACAAAATAGGGGGCTATGTCTCTTAGGATTTCCTTAAGCAAGGATTAAAACAATGGACAAAACCTGGGCCCCTGTGTGATTAAAAAAAAAAAAAAAAAAAAGAGGGCAGCCAAGAAAATCCACCAGGTTCTGCTGCTGTCTCTGAATGTTTGGCTTCCATAGCAACAAATGCCTGGGGCGGGGTCTGAGTGCTTTGTTCACAGGGCTGACCCAAGGCCACTCTACAGATTCTGTAGATAGAGGAGTCAAAAATGGGTGTCAGGGGGATAGTAGGCAAGATGACGTCTCATGATGCTCACGAGCACACTTGCAAAAAGTATAATCTTTAACAGAGAAAATGCCCAAGACCATCATAAATCAGGTATGTATCTATTGTTTCCTGTTGGGCTGAGCTAGCCAAGTGTTCTAGCCAGGTTTCCCTTGTGATCAATAGCATCCGAGAGAGTGCTAGCCAAAAATGAAGAGTTCAACTTGGGGCCAATAAACAGAGTTTTCCTTTGTGCAAAGTTAACAGGCCTAGGTGGGTGTTAAAACCAGTTTTTGACCTTCTGAATGCTATGATTTTTAAAGCTAATATTTTTGGGATTGAGTTTTAAATATAAATAAGTCAAAATCCTGGCCTTCAAGAGAAATCATTTTACCATGCAACCCATACTAGGGAAAAGCATAAAATCTGCATAAGGGGCTCTGGGATCCTTGGTGAATATAAAATGAAACATGGAATTGGTCACGACTTACATTAGATCAGGGCGGTATCTGTGGATGATTGCACACAGGGCCAGGCCGCTTTTCCAAGACATAGTGAGATCTGTCACATTTACCCCTGCATAGCCATCTGTCTGCCTTTGGCACCATCCCAGAAGTTTGCTTGAACGAGCTACAGACTCTAAAACAATAAAAATAATTATTGAAGTGTGCTTACCTAGTAACTCTGACATAGCATCTGCTTTGCGGTACACATATCCAGTTTGAAAAATTATTGAGGGTGGGGACAAAATGTCAGTGCTATTTTTAGAAGAAAGCATCGAGGCCTAAATTTATGTCACTGGTATCATGATGCACAATTTCAGATACTAATCTATTCGATTCCAGGGTCAATGCCCCAGACAGATACCTACAATCCCAGGAGGGTAACAAGGACCAGCCACATGGAAGCCATGTTCCAGCAACACTCCTGGAGACAAGTGGATGGCAAAGTGCCACCTACTGAGCTGATACCTCACTGGCAACAGAGTAAAGATGTCCCTGGAGAGTTCCCTGGCAACAGGCTGAGGAAGCCTTTTCCTCTACAGCAACACCCGGGAGATTAGATTAGAAAAGGTTTTCCACTGTGGTACCTTAAACCTGAAGCAAACAAAGCCTTAGTCTCACTTCCTAAGGTCCTGACTGAGTGCCATGTGAAGAGACTGTAGGGTGACAATGAGAAGGACAAATATTCCAGACAGACCATTCCCTAGACCCAGGTTAGCAACCTGTGTTATATAAACAATTATGTGCGGAGACAATGACAAGGCAAAGACAGATGTTCTCTGACTGGCTAACATGTCTTTATCATGAGGAGTTTTGTGAACATGAAGAGAGTTCGAGAAGCACCGATCTGCATTCGAGCAGTCTGTTCCAGTCCCCAAGGCAGCTGGGATTTAGCTTTACTAAATCACTTGATAATTTGTGAACAGATGATTTTAAAACGCCTATGACAAGAGTCTTGCTAAGTCTTTCACAGCGGTCTGAGACAAGAAACGGAGCACTTCTGGTGCCTTCTCTTGGCTTTGACATTGACCCACTCAAGTGTCTCCCAGGTCTGCACATCCACCTGCTCCATGTCTATGGGGCAACTGCAGAGGCAGGTGAACACAGTCATGGTGGTGGCTTACACCTTTAATCCCAACACTCGGAGGCAGAGGTGGGTGGATCTACAGAGTGGTCTACAGACTGAATTCCAGGACAGTCTCCAAGAAAGGCTACACAGAGAAACCCTGTCTTGAAACAAACGAGAGAGACAGAGACCGAGACCCAGAAACACTCTCTCAAGGGGTTGACACTCCAGGGGAGAAGAGGATGATACAAACTGCCTACTGGTTTTCACAAGATAACTCAAACCTTCCCTGTCTTCTCGCCTCCCCTCCTGGTTTGAATTGATGCAGCAAAACCACAACTACCTACCTGGTACCTCTCAGGACAATCAACGGCCAATGGCCATCCTCTGTGGTGCTTCAGACTTTTAATATTAACAACAATGACAAAACTGTTGTTTCCAAGCACTGTGGCAAGTGCTATGCAGAGACCTCAGGTCCGCAACCCAAGAGCAGCGAGCGTTATTCCTCCCAGATCAAAGACAAGGAAACTGAGGTTCTGAGGTTCTAACTAATCTGCTTGAGGCCACATGCTTTGTAGACGGCAGAGCTTGGACTGAGAACTACTGTATCTGGCCCCAAGGTGACCCAATGCCTCAGCCCCAGATTCCGGCCTTTACCACAGACTGACTGCCGAACTATCTCCTAAACAGCCTCCCTGCACCCAGTGAGTTTCCCTACTCAGTCTGCTGTAATGCACCCGACACTTGTACTCAATGCCACTCTCCAGAGGCCCTTCAACACACGAAACACAGACTGGACTTCGCGCCTGCCACAGCATTAAGGTTGCTGTCTCTGGACCAGCTAAAAGGCCACATGTTCTCTCCTGAAACTTGAGTGTGTGTCCGGGTACCCAGGAGCTTGCATCCATTTGGGCACTTCCTCACCCTCTCCAGAATCTGTAACTGGATGTTGTAGGGCATGGCCCTCCAAGTGTGTAACAGCCATTGCCGTCTTTGTCAGCGCAGCTGTGATTAGCGGCAAGAGACCCTTAAGGTCAGGGCTGTTGACACTCCCTCATAGGACAGAAACACCTCCCTCCCAGCTGCACACAGTCTCAGGAGGTGCTGAGCACAGAGAAGGCAGAGGGCTAACTGAAGGGACGACTCCGTCCACACAGCTATGGGGAACAGCACCGTCTATGTGGGAGTGAAACTTCAGTGAGCGGACATTTGGGGTCACCCATATTCCCTGCAGGTATGCTTATTAACTCACAGGTTCACAGAGCTGCGCTTCAGTGGACTCATTACTTTTGTCTGTTGTTGGTTCCCTATCCGGGACAAACAGACATTTGTGTATATCTCCCTAGGAGAAGTTCAAGAAACAAAAATTTACCTGTATACTCTTATACTACCTTAGACCATAATTCTTTTCTGTGTGTGTGTGTGGTGGTGGTGGGGGGGTGTCGTTTTGTGCATCCCAGAAAGTGTAAGCAACATCCACAGTTCTATTCACTAGAAGCCACTTGCAAACCTACCCCAGTCGTGACATAAAAATATACCCTGGCAACAACCTAATATCCCCAGAGGGTAAAACCACTGGCTACAGCCTAGGGCCTTTGATAGCACTGTGGTCACGCAACCTGAGGGCAGTCTTCTTTCAACAGCTCGGACCATTGTTGGAACTCACCATTGCGAGTCAGCTTGGGAGTGGTTCGGGAATTCACCAGGTTCTCCATTTCCAGATGAATATCTTTTGTGTCTCCGCTATCATATAAATGGCGCACCTGGCAGGAAGTTGAATGGTTGAAAAGGAAAATCAAACCCTGAATAGCAAACCCCACTTAAAGGAAGCAAGCTGGTGAAGTCTATACACTTATTTATTTCTATTTGCTGGCAGGGCTGGGAGTTGAGGTTAGGGTACTGCACAGCTAAGCAGAGCTATTCGCCCACGGTAAAGCTTCGTCAGAATCCACGTGACAACCTTAGAGCTTCAGTGGAATGAGGTTTTGGAGACACACAAAACCTGAACAGCAGCAGCTGTGCTGAAAGTAAGCCAGTTGGCCATGGCTGTCCCTCTGATCTGATACTGCCTACCTTCAACGTATTTACAAACACTGTTCACACACACACACACACACACACACACACACACACACACACACAAAGCCTATATACATCAGGCAGAAGGCAAAGAAGAAACTCCTCCAGAATAGAGACAAACATGTGCAGGAGGCTGTTTCCTGGTGAGTCCTGTTCCTTGGGACTGTTGTGCTCTGTTAGATGTCACAAGAAAAGGTGGCTTCACAGGTTCTAAAAAGTCAGTACAGCATTGAGGCTAACACCGCCACCAACGCCTTCTATTTGTAGAGAGCATCCTAACCTTTCAGAGCCCTTCCGAGAGAACAACCATGTTTGTCTGACAATGATGCTGTATAGGCAGAGGTTACCAACTACCCTTCTCAGATGAAAAACAGGTTCAGAGAAAGAGAAGTGACCAGGCTTGAGTCTCAGGTGATGGGTGGTGATGCTGTCGGTGACGTCATCCCTCCTGACTACTGAACCAGAGGGTACCCTTTGCCCTACTCTGTGTGGTCTGAATTAGGAGATGATGGGTGAAGTTCTAGGTCTTTCGTTGTTGTCACTTGTGATCTTCTATAAGTCATTTAAAAACTCTATTTGGCCAGACATGGTGGCTCACGATTGTATCTCCAGCTCCCAAGAAGCTGATTCAAGAGGATCATCTTGAGTTCAAAGCCAGCCTGGTCTATGTAGTTAGTCCAGGTATGCTTGGCTTACAGCACATTCAAGTCTCCCCACCTCCTCCCCAAACTCAAAATAAGCGACCAACCAATAAAGAAAAAGAAGGAAGGACTGATTCTCTGTGCCCCGGCTGCTGACTGTGGTAATGGGAAATAATACCTACTTTCAACAACACAGAAACATCGACTTGGATCACTTAAGAGTGTGCTGTATAATAATAAGCATAGCTGGACACATTCCTGGTGGAATATATACTGTATAATAACAAATATAGTTATGCACATTCCTATCTGGTCTATTGACCAGAGTTTTAGCATCTAAAACATGGGCCTAAGAGGACATAACTACAAGAAGGCTCTTACCTGGCTCGGCCGGAGGAAGTTGATGTTAATATTGGGGTACCTAGTGACAGGGTCAATGCTATATTGGCTGAAGTTTTTGCTCACATTCTCAGGGGTAGTCTGAGGCAGCAGCCTATAAATGCTTTCCCTGCAATGACATACAACAGTGTGCTCTTAGCAGCGACAAGCACTGAATTACCCACCAAGTCAGTCAAATAGTCACCTCTTCCCTCCAGATCCAGAACTCAGTGACTCCATGTACCTGGACCAGGGGAAGGGCCAAAGAGAAGAGCAGGGACAATGCTGTGAGTGGTGGCAAATGCCACTAACTTAGAAATGTAGCGTGCCAATATTTACTATGATTTTTAAAGAAATTAAAAGGGAACCTATGGCCAACTTGTGTGAGGTTAGTGGAATGCACAGTCTGTCTGGTCCTGAGTCCTGTGCCCATCAAGTCATCTTTGCTGAATCTTCCCCTCAATAGAATAAACACTTAATCTAAAGGATGAAGGATACTTCCAAAACACCGTCGCTGGCTGGTTTTTTTTAGCGTCAACTTGACACAAGCTAGAGTCATCTGAGAGCAGTGAACCTCAATTAGGAAAATGCCTCTAATGAGATCAGGCTGTAAGCAAGCCTGTAGGGCACTGTCTTAGTTAGTGATTGATGTGGGAGGGCCCAGCCATTGTGGGTGGTGCCACCCCTGGGCTGGTGGTTCTATAAGAAAGCAGAAAGGCCTGTGTATTCCTCATTGAGTCTGTCAGCACTATGGTTACTTGCCCAAAGGTCACGAGCTAAAAGTCTGGACCCTAGCATGGTGGCAGTGAGGCTGTAGATGTGGCAGCTCACACCTATAATTCTAGCACATGGGACACTTAGACAGGAGAAAATACTGAGTTCAAGGCCAGCTAGGATTACATAGTGAGTACTAAGCCAGCCTGGGGTACAGAGTGAGACTCTCATCTCAAAACACAAAGAAAAAATAATCTTTGCCATTACATCCAGATGCATGCCTTACATTAAAGATTTAAATTGTGCTGGCTGGTTTTTATGTCACCGACACAAGCTAGAGTCGTCTAAGAGCAGTGAATCTCAATTAGGAAAATGTCTCTAATGAGATCAGGCTGCAGGCAAGCCGGTAGGGCACTTTCTTAGTTAGTGATTGATGTGGGAGGGAGGGCCCAGCCCATTGTGGGTGGTGCCATCCCTGGGCTAGTGGTTCTATAAAAAAAGCAGGCTGAGCATACTAGAAGAGCAAGGCAGTAAGCAGAATCCCTCCATGGTCTTTGCATTAGCTCCTGCCTCCAGGTTCCTGCCCTGCTTGAGTTGCTGTCCTGACTTTGATGATGACCAGTGATATGGAAATGTAAGCTAAATAAACCCTTTCCTCCCTGAGATGCACTGGTCATGGTGTTTCATCACAACAAGAGTCAGAAGTTAGGACCAGGAGTGAGGTATTGTTGTGACCAGCCCGACTATGCTGATTTTGGGGGCAGTGTGGACGACTTTGGGACTCTGTACTAGGAAAGCAGCTGAACACTGAAAGCACAGTTTAACAGGCCACCCTAGTAGGAGCTTAGAGGACAATAACGAGTAGAACAATGAAGACTACAGAGGCCCAGCTTAAGAGGTTTCAGAGGGGGACAATATTAGCAACTGGGCTAAAAGCCATTCTTGTGATATTTTGGGGGGGACAGAAAAAAAGGGCTGCTTTTGCCCTAGTCCTAAGAATCTGCCTGAGGCTAAATTGAAGAGTTCTGAACTAACTTTATTAATCCTGTCACATGGTTATTAGTAACCATTCTGATGCAGGTCTACAATGAAAGAAAGCAACAGGGCAAAAAGAAATACAAGATATACAGTTTGAGCAGAAAAGGAGCACAGAAAATTTAATGCTGGCACTAAGGCTTGTGCTAACAGATAAAGAGAGGCCTGGTGTGAAACGGTAAAAAGGGAGTGGTGCCCTCAGGACACCCACCCCACCCAGCTATCCTTGCAGCTAATGAAAGCAAAAAGGCCTAAGGAATTTTCTGCTCCTAAAAAGTAACTAGGCAAAATTTATGCAAATGTAATTCAAGGAGGGGCCAGGCTCCATCCCAAGTAGGCAGCCAAACTTGGAAATACCAGCTGCAAGGTTCAGGGTTTAGAGTCACAAGGACAGGAGTAAAGGTGTGGTGTAATCTTCCTCTATGTTAAGGAGCGCTGCTCACTATACCCCCAGGCTATGGCAGGGGAGTCCCTGCTTGGCCCCGAGGGGCCACCTGAAGGTGTAAAAGTGAAGCCTGCATTGTACTGAAGATCCCAGGATGCTGGGGTGACGGAACCATGGAGTGTCTGCCAGGGAGAGTGGCACACAGGGACTGGAACCAGCCTGAGAGAGAAGTGTGCTGCAGGCAGCAAAGTTGAAAGCTAACATCAGATATGGAGCTTTGCCTCCCTGTGTGTTTCAGTCTTGTTTTGGCCCAGTATTTCCTCACTATACCCCCAGTCTAACAGTTTTGAATGGTAATACATGTTCTGTGCCATTGTATGTTGGAAGCCTGTAATTTGCTTTTTGATTTTATAGAGGCTTACAATTGAGAGCTTGCCTTGCATCTCAGGAGACTGGACTTTGGAAGTGTTCAGACTGTGATATACTATGGGCATTTCTAAAGCTGGACTAAATGCATTTTGCATTACTCTATGGCTACCAGAAATGTGGCGGTTGTAATGAGACTGCCCCAAAGACTCATATGTCTGAATACTTGGTCCCCAGTTGGTGGAACTGTGTGGGAAGGATCAGGAGGTGTGGCCTTTGTTGGAGGGCTTAGTGGTTTCAAAAGCCCACGTCATTCCCACTTAGCTCTCTCTTTGCTCTCTTCATGCCTATGAATCACATATGAACTCTGAGCTACTGCTCCAGCACCTTGCCTGCCTGGTCATCACGATGGCCCTCTGAAACTATAAACCCCCAAATAAAAACTTTCTGTTCTGAAAGTTGCCTCAGTCATGCTGCTTTGTCACATCAATAGAAACGTAATAATATCAATTATCAGAGAATAGCAGCCATTATCGGGTTCATCTAGGAAATCTCACATTCTTGTTTCTCTGGTCAGGGTAAACAGCAAGTAAATCCTAGTGTCCCTGCCTTGTTTACAGTCATCTGCTTCCAAACATCTGACATCCAGGGGTTCAAGAAATGTTTAGCAGCAACCTTGGGTTTCCATCAGCTAGTCACTCCTAACAAATGCCCCTTGTAGCACGTTCCCACTGCCACACTGCCTTACGGGGCATGGGTGCCACTGTGGGGCTGCTATGCATTTGCTCATGCAGTTATCGGGAACGAATCAAGACCCATCGGTGGGGCACAAAGATGTAGACACCACATGCCAACAGCAGATTCATCTGGGGAGGGTTATGAGAAGAGCTGCTTGGGCAGGATCACCTTGAGGTTTCTGTGATTTTATAAAACAGTTCCCTGCCTTTCTCTACTTGAACATGAAAGCATCTTTTAAAAAGAACAAACGAACAAGGAGAAGGAAGAACTTGCACTTGGCTGAGGAGTGAGCAGACTGACTCCCCAGTCCTGTAGGAGGTACCCACGGCTTCTCTCCATTACCTCTCTGCCAGGACTTCCAAGGGGCTGGTGCCCAGAGACCAGCTTCGTACCATCCAGGCGGAGTCCATAGCAGCCAGAAAGCCCCGGGCTATTCCTGTTCCCATTGGCCAGAAAGGCTGCAAAAGAGATATACGCAGAGTTAAAGCAACTCAGCTATTAAAAGAGGGAAGGAAACCAGTATCCCAGGGGCCCACCATCACTTTTCTCCTTTATGGTACAATTCTTTCAAGGGACACTCTGCTCATCCACAACCCTGAACACTCAGACTCATTGTTATTTCCTGTTTACCACTTAGTTCTCTGCCCCCTTTAGTACTTACCTCCAAGAGGCTGTCCCCAACCAGAGCTACTAGTAACTGGTGTCCATTCTGTTCCCGTACCAAAGCAGCATTTTCAGAGGCGTACATACAGGTAAAGTCAAACATGGCCACATCAGGCTGCCCATAGTGATTGATGGCAAAATCCAGAGACGGCAGTTGCTGCTGGGTAGAGAAGTCTGCAGCCTCCCGGGCATAGTTCAGCAGGGCTTCTTGGTCCACATTCTCCCGGGAAAGTAACAGCTCTGTGTCTGTGTAGTCCTGTCCAGGAAGAGCAAAGGCCAAGATGGAGCAGCCCAAGCAGGGATTCGAGTGAACATCAAACATGACCTTGTCTCATGGTGTTTTTCTCCCTAAGGTGTTTTTAAAATTCCTAAACCAAATCTTTTACACCAATTACAAAGAACAGGGATTGGGGTGGTTGGGGGGGGGGGCGTTGGTTAAGAGTGAATCAACTTTGCTGTCTAAATGGACCTGGCTTTCCCACTCACTAGCAGCAAAGCTCATCTAGCTCAGAGTTGTTAAAAATTATCAAATAAGATAGCCATGTAACAGCACCTTGTAAACTGGAAAGGCATTTTTAAAGTTTGTGGTATTTCCTGTCATCACTTTAATCCGGGTGTCTGATGGCTTTTGGCAGCAAGAAATCCAGACTTATCACACCTAAAGGGAACCTGAAAACTTTAGCACCAAGAGAAGTGCAGTGTGAAGCAAGAGCAGGTCCGGACGATGAGAGGGAACGCTCTGAAAATGAACCGGAGATCCCTAAATCATACAGAGGGCTCTGCGAGGCTCCATGAAAAACCACCAACAAACAAAAAGGGTGTGCTGTGTGGAGAAGTGAGGCCCTTCCTCTCTGCTTTGGAGGTTCCTGCGCACTGACTGAGTCAAGTCTGCTCCCCTAAAGTGAGGCCTGTGGGTTCCAAGTGCCCCTAATGGTACTCAGTGACAACCATAAGCTGTCAAAAGCCCAAACACAAACACTCAAGTCGGTCCTGGAAAATACTGTTTGTTCAATGTTAAGTGGCCACTATGGCTTTAGTATTTAGCAGCATAAACCCCTTACACTACAAAAATATAGGAGCAAAGTAAACCATGTTTCAGCATTCCAGACTGTTCTTACTCAGTTTTAAGTGAAGACCCAGATCTGCATGGATGGCTGGTTTGAGTCTTGACTCTGTCCTCAGGCATGCCAACTGCTGGAGCAACAGCAACAGAAGAGCCCCAGATAATGATCAGCCAGCTTCATAAAGCAACCAGCCAAACATGCCATGCTTTTGTTTGGCAGGGAACTCTGTACCAAGAGCCTTGTCCTGCTGCTCCCTACACACCACAGGGCTGCCATGCTGAGAGGCAGACACGAGGTTCACGGTGGACAGGGGACTTTGTGTCGAAAGCTCGTGCCTGTCCGCTCACACCCCAGTCTGCTGTAGATAAAGCAGTAGTGTGACTCATTCTAAGGGGCCTGATGTGTTACCATCCTGCAGACACAAAGAGCTCCCTAAGAGTCTGGTGGGAACTGCACGGGGCCAAGTCAGCACATTTGAGGCTTCTTCTGTCCATTCATAACACGGAGACAGTAATTCTCACATCAGATCTGTGAGACCGAGTGAGAAAGCAGCCATGCTCCTTCAGGAACCATGCAGCCTGTGATTTAGATTTCAGGCCATCAGTTCAGGGTAGATCATACAATTAGTCACCAAGAAAAAGGGCTGAGCTGGAACTGGTTAAGGATGGACACCAGGCCTTTGCTGTTAGTTAGAAAGAGTCTTACATATGCCCTGATCTGGTCAGGTCAGTGTTCCCTGGACTGACAGTAATCACATTTGCAGTAAAACCTGTCAGGCTGTTGTAAACACCAAGGGCTGCTTCTTGGTTCCCAACACTTGCCATCCTGTCCTCCACCCACCCTTCCCAAAGAGGACCCACTAATGTGGGGGGGTGGGGTTGGTGGTGCAGGCATATAATCTCTGCTACTCAGAGGCTAAGGGAGGGCAACTACACTTTCAAGGCTTGCCTGGGGCTATGGTGTTATTTCAAGGCCAGCCTGAGCCACTTAGTAAGAGCCAGTCTCAAAGGAAATAGTTCTTTGAAAGAAAGTCTAGGGGTGTAGCTCAGTGACAGAGTTCTTGTCTAGAACACACAAGGTCCTCAGCTCAGTCCCCATTACTGTGGTAGGGAAACAGTGGGTGTGGGAGGGTATACTAATCAATGATTGTCCTGCATGGGATTTACTGTAATTGTAAATCAGGTTACCTGAAGTTAAACTGGCTAATTATGCAGGACATGGTGTCTGACACTTGCTCTAAAAAATACTTGCTCTAAAGAGCAGGAATGGGGAGTGAGGAAGGGGTTGGGTTTATTGAAACAATCTGGCCATGTTGGTAACTGTTAAAGCTAATCATAATCCTGGCCACATAGACCCGTTCTACCTTCTTCCTTCTGCTTATAGTTCAATTTTCCATAATAAAAATATTTTTGAGTTAAGCTGATAAATAGCATGAGTTTCCAGATGTGTTCAGTGTCATTTCTATTCCCTTTCAGGAAAAACCTATCAGACTAAAATTCTTAGTGACTCTATCAAGCAGTTCAACAAAGATGCTGCCTGAAAGAAACTCATTGCTCACATGCAGTATCACCCCTTTGTCCAGTAAGCTCTGCTTTTTGGCCGTCATCACAAAGTAGTGTGTGTCATCTTTGTAGTAGACGATGTTCTCTAAGTCAATACCTGCAACCAGAAGACAGACATGTGAGAATCATGGAGACTGGGACATTAGGGGATCCTCAAGGCTGGACTGGGGGGTCTCACAGAAAAGGGCTGAAGAGCACCAGGCACGAAAGCTGTGTAGGCTCAGAGCCCCACTTCCTGCATGGCGCATGGAAATCATGAGGTTTGCTTTCCCTTGTGGTGCATTATAACTTACTCAGTAGCCTAGGTTACCCATGACCAACAGTAAACAAAACATGGTATGGGAAAAGCAAAGCAAAGGCCAATCTACAAGAGGGGATGGGTTAGGTACCAGGTAAAACCTCTTTGTTAATCACCAAGGAAGCTGGAGGCATTGCTTAGATTTCTAACAGGATAGATACCTAAATATATAGAGAGAGAAATATTGAATCTTTATTCAGTTAACCTGCAAGATACACGGAATGGAAAGAAATCAAGTTCTAGATAACAAAATGAAGACACTTTTTTTTTGTTTCATGGCAGCAGAATAACTCAATCCACCAGAAGACAGTCATACACAACCCATTCCTGTCCAGCAATGGTTGCCGGTGAGCTCAGATGACCTCACAGAAGGCCAACAGTGATAGCAAAGGTCACAGTGTCAACAAAACCAGAGCTGCCAGTGGGCAGCCCGCTCATCCGGCAGAGAACCTGGCTCAAAGAGCAGGGAAAGGAGCTGGGGATGAGTTGGCAGAAGGCAAAACCAACAACAACAAACCCCAGGGCAGCCTGGTCACTGTGCTGGGTTTGACAAGGGAAAGCAGCAGGGTGGAAACATGCTAAGAACAAAGGATGGGAGTGGCAACAGAACAGAAGACAGAGGACACAGCAGTGACAGCCATGGCTACCCACACCAACAACCTCTGGGCTCTGGAGGCACTGACACCAACCTGTGGCTTCTCTTAGCTCCTGGAAAAATTTCTGGTTGAATATAAAAGCCACACCACTGATCTCCTCTACTTTGGCCTCTGCAGTTGTATTTCGGTTAATAAAATTTGCTGTAATGGCAATGGCTAGCTTGCCACGAAATTCTTTCCGACGAAATCCTAGAGGGAGAGAGAAGGGATAAGGACTTCAAACGAGAGTGTGGGGGCCAGAGTCAGGGAAAGTAGATAGCTCACCTAACAGGGATGGAACAACTCAAGAAGGAAGGCCCCTCCCACATCAGGGACAATGTGAAATCCATCTGACCAGATTACTGCTCAGTACCAGTGGTTACCCTTAAAATGGAGGGGTGCTGTATGCCTGGGACATTTGTGCATAGACCAAAAGCTGTAGTACTGATACCTCTAAGCACAGCTTGTCTCCTAGTGCTCTGTGGGAAATACCCCAAGCAGGGCAGCACACATGCAAATTCTTAGGGCTGTGGTCTCTGGGAACAGGCCAGCCTCCAATATGCAATGAGCCAGGCAAGGGAGAATGGGTCAAAGCCAGTACCTTCCAGGGTGTTTCTACGCCCATCCCCACCGATGATCACTTCAAATTCATATTCTGATACAGGATGAGTTTTGGGGTGCACCAATGCTCGCCATCCTATCCCTGTGAACCAAAAGTAAAATGAAGGTCATGACCCAGAGGAAGCCACACACCCAGACCACACGACGTCCCAGTCCAAAGTACTACATGTTATAGAATAAGGGGCCAGACTCATGCAGAAAGTTTTGACAAGAGCTCACAAAGACACTTTCTTTACCTTTGCATTTTCTACAATACAAATGCCTGTCACGCCTAACACCACGTCTAAGGACTCTTGGGTAAGCCAAAAGTTCTCAAAATCCCAGGCTGCGTGAACAAAGCCCCTTTAGTCAGCACTGAAAACCACCTGCAAGTCCTTCTGGTTCCTCCCATGATCTCATCTGTTCTCACCCACTCAGGGCCCTTGTGCCTCCCTCTGTCCAGTCCAACTCACGTTCATTCTCTTGGTCCTCAGGAGGCTGAACAAGTCCTTGGAATTCCACATTGACATGGATTTCGATTCCTAAGATCAAGGCCACTTTCAAGAGGATTAGCTGGAGCTGACGGATACCTAGAAGAACACGAAGATCTTGATGGCAAGGGGACAGGAAGGGGCAAGCCCTGTGGTGTCTACCCTCAGGCTCCCACCCATCCATATCTGCTTAGCCTTCCCAAAGGCTGTCGTAGCAGAGGCATGTCTCAGAAGTTCTCTTTGTTTCTCCATGTTGTAAAGGTAGCATCAAACAGTGAAAGAAACATTTTGGATATACTAGGCCACTCTACTTCTGGAGCAGGGAATTCCAAATAACCTAACTTGATGACACAGTGGTCTTGTGAGTGCCACTGTTATGAGAGCAGCCATAGTCTTCAGAGGCACCTACTTACTGCGAGCACGGGTGAGGTAAACTCACAGGTAGGGTGTCACAGCATCCACCTTCTATTCTAACCTACTACTGACCTCACGTGCTCCTACCAGACACACAAAAGAAAGCACAGCCCCACCCTATCTCTTATCATTCCCCACCACCAGTGACTTACAGTCGTGGAAACTGAGGTCCAAAAGGACTGAATCCTGCTCATGACCACAGTAATAAACATATCTGATGCCTAATGAACTCCTACTAGATCTGGCATCGATGACAGGTTACAGTGAGACAGAAATCCTGTCCCTGGTTTAAGATACCCCTGCCCTAAAATAAATTTGGCCACAGAAAGGGACCACAAATCCACTCAGTCAACAACCCCAGTGCTTTCTTACAGTCAAGTTTACCTGAAGCCTGTGACTAATGAGCTATGAGCACGCGAAAATCCCCTGCTATCATCCTGGTTACTCTGCTCAGCTGACCATATCCTTGCCCTTCTGAGTCACACTCTCAAAGACTCACTGAGACCTGTGCTAGCACATACTTTATTTTTGCAGACAACTGTGGGTTCCAGGATGCTTTACAAATTACAACCTGGCAGATGGGCCGAGCACTTCCTTTTGCCAGTGGAATGTGGCAGCCGCCAGCTAGTGTTGGGTAAATTGGAATAACCGCTTCAAACAGCAAAAGGTCTAATGGCTGAATGTATTTCCAGGTCACATATGGAGGAGCTCAGAACAAATGCCACTTACTAACATCTCCCTAGACTAATTAATGACAGTGAAAAGACTTCTCCAGCTTGATGATGCAGACACTGTTCCAAACTGGTTTCAGATACGCCGCTTCATGAAAACAAGACTATCTTAAGAAAAATACAAGGCTCTGATTTCATCAGAACACAGACTTGGCATCTGTGTCCAAGCTATGACTCTTACTTCTTTGTGTGTGGTTTCCACGTCTGTGTCCCCATGGCACTATATTCCTGCATCAGTAGAGGGAATGCAAGATCACAACACAGAACCCAAGCCTGTGTATTCCCTTCCACTGAACTAAGAACCACCAGGGGGTTGAAATCCAAACTGTCCACCTTATTTCTGGTGCCCACCCTTCCTCCTCCACTGAAATACCATGGGCATTCAGCAAGAGGCCAAGACCCAATTATGAATCATGTATGTTTGTGTGTTGTGGGGGAGTGTTGGGGTTTCTGTGTATCCCTGGCCGTCCTGGAATTCACTCAGTAGACTAGGCTAGCCTCAAATTCAGAGATCTGTCTGCCTTTGCCTCCTGAGTACTGGGATTAAAGGAATGCACCACCATACCTGGCTCCTAACTAAGAATTTTTAAACCAAACTCTCTTTTGTTGTACAAGAGACCCATTTGAGGTTAAGAAGCCTAGGTTACTGAACTCTGGCAGGGGCACACCCTGGCTGAAGAGGAATTCCTCAGGTAACCTACTTGTCTCTGTCTACTGCACATGGAGCAGGAAGAGTGGGTGGTACTCACTGATGTGGTCGATGGCTCCAGCACAGAACTTGCCGTAGAATTTCTTGGCACCCAGACCTCGAAGATCATGTATGGTGAAGGGCCAGAGATGCAAGACATTGTTTCGGGAGAAGGCATCTCGCTTCTCAATGACGACTACCTTGGCTCCCAATAAGGACAAGTCAATGGCCGTGCGGAGACCACAGGGGCCAGCTCCAATGATGAGACACTGGAAAAACACAGGTACTTTCAGGGCAGAAGCCACACCTCTACAAACACACTTCTTATAACTATCACTCCCAGGGCCATACTCCAGGACCGAGACACCTGAAGTCTGCCTAGGAGAGCAGAGCCCTTGCAATGGCTTGAAGGAAGAGGTCATGATTGTTGTGAGCAGAGAAGACTAAACCCTTCCATGTCTACCTCGAGCAGCCTAGAGGACCCGCAGCTCAGCAAGACTTAAGTGGGACAACATCTCAACAAACATGAAAAATCACATCTCATCTTCCATCAAAACAGGACCCTTAGGAAGTTCCGAAGCCATAGGCAGACTGCTGTCCAAATACGAGAGTATTAGCCACATCCCGGCGATTGAGTCTGGGTCTACCATGCAAATGCCTCCTACAGGGCAACTTTCAAGACCCAAAGGAAGGGTCATGAAAAATTTGGGGTTTTTTAAATATTTATTTACTTATTTATTTTATGTGTGTATAAGTGAGCCTAAGTGTGTGTGTGTGAGCCTGAGTATATGTATGTGAGCCTCAGTGTGTGTGTGTGAGCCTGAGTGTATGTATGTTGTGAGCCTGAGTGTGTGTGTGTACACTAACTGTTGAACTCCTTCAACAGAGATCAGAAAATGCAATGGAGTCGTGTTTTATCTTGTTTTAAAATATATTTATTTTGGCCTGTGTGTATATGTTTGTGCATTGCAGGTGCCCAAGGAGGCCAAATGAAGGTGTCAGATCTTCTGGAACTAGAGTTACAACTGTGAGCCACCCAATGTGGGTGCTGGGATCCCAACTCCATTCCTGTGCAAGAAAAGCAAGTGCTATTAACTGCTCAGCCATCTCCACAGGCCCTGATATGAGTTTTAAAGTCATTTCTAGACTGAAAGTTCAGGGAAGTACTCTTGATAACTCACTTGAGGCAAGACAAATCCTGACCTTAAGCAAGCCTGCATTTTAAGCACAGAAGGAAAACACAAAATGCATGATTTTGTATCCGTTTTCTTCATTTTTTTGTGTGTGCTCTCTCTTTCTCTCAACAGTGTGTGTGTGTGTGTGTGTGTGTGTGTGTGTGTGTGTGTAATTTTGGAGGATGAGATGCTGAGGCTGGAACCCAGGGTCTGAAAAGCAAGCACTCTACCTCTGAGCTCCCCTTAGGCCCCTTCTTTTATTTTAAATTAAAGTCTAGCAGTCACTCACGAAAATCATGCCTTCAAATCTTGAATTTCTCCATGGGCTAGGTCTCTAGGTGTCTCACAGGATAAATTAAATGTCATGAAAAGCCAAATAAGAGCCCCGAAGCTACTGGAAATTTGTTTCCTAATTTCTCCCAGACTTCTCACAGAAGGAAGTCTTCAAAGAGGAAGGCCAGAATTACCTCCATCCCTTTCACTTGCTCACACCTATCCTGACACAAGTGAGCACACATTCTCACTTCCTCACGCTTATTCCCACTCAGGTGAGTGCAAACCTCAGGTTTCAGTCCAAGTCTATTCTGTGGAAGCTCTATTTGTCTACACTGTGAAGACAGCAATAGAAATAACTTCCATTTCCAAGGTCCTTGTGTGTGAGTTACAGTTGACCTTTGGAACTATGGATAGGAAGAAGCCTGGTGACGCTTGCTACAAATCCTTATCTCATGCTGAATATGGAAAGATGACTCTGGAAAAGGTGACAGGCCAAGAACCATGAAGTCACATTCAGACAGCATACTCATACGGGCCTGGCTATGTCTGTCCCTGCTGAGGGACCTGCATCCTCTAACAGTGTGAGGCTGGGGGGTGGGGGTTTCAGAAAAATAAAAACTGTCTATCCACCTGCCCTCAAACCTTGAATGTTCAGTAAGTGAGTACGTGAAATATGCTCAGGGTCTGGTGGGTAGAAATGTCAAATGAACACAGGTAACAAAGTTTCATCAGTCAAAGTTTCACCCCTTCAGCTAGGCTGAGGCCTTGCTCTCTCTCCCTACCCTCCTCTTCTCAGTTGCTCATGGAAGCCAGGTGAAATCCTTGTGTTGTGATCCCAGGTCCTAGGATCAGCCGGGCTTACCTTCGTGTTGGTACATGCTTTTCCCTTTTTGTAGTCTTTGTGACTGCCCCGCTTGTCTAATTTGGCCCAGAGGGCTTTGGCCTTCCAGTAGTTGAGCTTGGACTTGAGCTTGTGGTAGAAGGAGCGGTAGTCCTTAGGCTTCAGTTCCAGGTGGTCACAGAGCTCTTGGAAGGCCCTGAGGGTTCCTTTGCAGGTAGTGGCCTGGACAAACCGGTCAAAGAGGACATGAGCTTGGTTCGTTGTCTCCTGCTTCCTCTCCTCCATGCTATCCTGCTCTTGGCACAACCCCACAGGGGGGCAGTGGGATGGCTGTGGTTCCAGCAGGCACTGTCACCTTAATCTAAGGGAAAACAAAGAGGAAAAAGAAAATGGTCAGCATCTCTGTGTTCATGAACATTTCCCCGGAGACATGCTCCTTCCCAGTGGCACTCGTGTCCTTGACGGAAGTTCACAGAGACACTACAGGCACCGTACAGGGTGTTGGGAGCTGACAGTCCAGTAGGCAGCATGGTCACAGAGGCAGTGTTACAATGGACTTTCCAGGGACTGCTGCGGCTTTCAGTTAGGCCAGGAGGGCATGCAAGACTGGGCAGGGTGGTCACTCCAGCTGTGCTGTGAGGCTCTCATACACAGCAGCCACGAGTGACTCCCAGTTTTCTGAGGGAGGCCAAACTACAGCAAGCCAAAAGATTAAAACCAAAATCGCTCATTTGTGTGGCTGGCTGGTGAGCTCACTGTCTTGAACCCATTACATGGAAGTACTTAGCATGGATGACTTTGAAGTTTACTGAATGGCTGGTGAGGGAGAGCGGGTTTAGGAGCCATCGGCATATGGCAGGAGTGGAAACTATTCAAGCAGAGGGTATGCAATGTGAGAGCCCATGAGCAAGGGGGGCCTGGAACTCTGCACAAGACCTGAGCTACCCCAACCAACCTGACAGAGGCCAGCAAGGAGATAAGGCCTCTTCAAAGACTACTGCAAGAGTTAGTACAGAAAGGACTGAAGAAAGCCAAAGGACTGTGTCAGACATGGCTAAGAAGCAGGAGACATCAGAGTCACTAGGCACACAAGAATCGCAAAGCTTTCGCCTGCACATGGTTCATGCAGGGTGGGTTTACAGCCACCGCATTTTTCAAATACATCTTTTAGGATAGCGACGATGTTATCCGTACCAAGTACTCATCAGAAATGGCCACCACCAGTCTCCCAGGATGAGTGCAGACAAACACTTAAACAGGTGGGAAGCAGCAACCTTACATACTTCTGTACCCACTCTTCCCCTGATCTCTTTTGTGACATGTTTTATTGGAACCATTATTCAGAGACAAATAACGAGGAGTGCAGGAGTCCCACCCCAGCCTGGAGTCTGCACTGGCTGCTGTGTGACCCTCGGAAGTCAGTCTTCCTCCTGAGGCTTTAGTTTCCATTTCGGAAGGTGAGGAGGAAGGGCTGATGACCTGCCAGCTCTTGGAGCCCTGAAGTCCTCTGGGTCAAATGCAGCCCTGCCCACCGTACTCCTGTAGTGCTCCAGTTAGGACAGCTCACTCACTCACTGCAGTTCTCTCTGGGATAAACGACACTGGGAGGAGCTCTGCTATGAAGAGGCTTTACTCTGGGATGAGGTGAGGGAAGGAGCTGGGGAGATGCAAGGCACCGAAACTGAGGGGCCAGGAGCCGCCCACTATCCAGTGGATGGACTCAAGCTGGTGGGAGCCCCTAGGTGCTGGTGCTGGTGGAAGCAATTCTCAGAGACAGACCCCAAGTTCTACAACATGAGTGACCCTAAGACCGAGAGAAGCTGTTTCTTGGGACAAATCACTAAGGAACAGCATGCTCCAGGAAATGGGGGACATTTCACTTTTCTACAAACTTGATGGGATTAAATCAAAACCCCCTGAGACCCCTAGGAGGGGGTGGGAAGTACAAGGATCAGCATTTCCCTCCTGCTGCTTCCCAGGAGAGAGGACAAGCTGGAGAGTGCAAGCCGGTGATTCTTACCACACACTGCCTTAGCTTCTTACCACACAACTGTGACTGACTCAACAGCCCTCCTGGCTCTGGACGCTAAAAGCCACATTACTAATAAACATGGCCTGTTTCGATATCCATGTGGCCAAGAGTACAAGATTTAAAAAAAGAAGAAGAAGAAGAAGAAGAAGAAGAAGAAGAAGAAGAAGAAGAAGAAGAAGAAGAAGAAGAAGAAGAAGAAGAAGAAGAAGAAGAAGAAGGAGAATGAATGAATTATCTGGGGGTGTGGCTCAGTGTCAGAACACTAACATATGGAAGGCTCTGGGCTCATCTCTAGCCCTACAAATAAGGAAGAAATACAAAAACAAGCAAGAGAAGTCCTGGAATTAATCAGAACCAACCTCCGGTCTCCCCTAAATAAAGGTTTATTTTAGGTCATGGCAGCAAGAAAATATTTTGAAGGCCATAAAAAGAGTCCATTCTTTTCTTACAAGCCCAGACTCAGAAATGGTAGTCAAAAGACAGCTTGTAAGAATGGAAAAATCCACATCTTTATGACAGACGAGGCAGAAGAAAGAGTGGCAAGGAACAGTTGACAGTTGATTGTAACTGGGCTTGAAAGGGCGGGCATTGCCCTGCCCCTTTCAATCCCAACCCCCATGGCCTACCCGTGTTCACAACCACCTGATACTACCGGAGTTACAATGCAGCGTTGCCCAAATTTTGAACACACCTGGCCTGATTACCCGTGCCAAGAAGGAACATGGTTTTTCTCTGTTCCTAACTGGCAGCCACTGATTAGCTCTTGCCAGAACTCTCTCTCTCTCTCTCTCTCTCTCTCTCTCTCTCTCTCTCTCGGATCTCACTATGTGTGTAGCTCTGGTGTCCTGGAACTCACTATGTGGACTCAAACTCACAAAGACCTGCCTGCCTCTACCGCCCAAATGCTGGGACTAAAGGCGTGGACCACCACACCCATCTCAGACTACATTTCTAGAGCCTTTCCCACCAGTAGTAGCACCACACTTCCCCTTGACAATCATCTTGGATACTACTTTCCAGAGAACGGCTCTAGCCTCGCAAGCAGACATCCCTTTGGTTGGATACTGCCTACTCTGAAGTAAGTTCTCGCTTCCCCGGGGCTGCTGACCACCACAGGGCATTCCCAAATCAAATTCTGTCGTGGCTGAACACTTTCATTAACAAGTACTCCAGTGCCTGTGAGTGTATATTGCTATTCTAATGTGCCGTCTCGGCCCAGGTCCCCAAAGAGTGCAGAGTATCTGCTCTGGAGAGGCAGGCAAGTATTAGGTGCCCTGGCTAAGGGATCATGACCTGCAGGGCACTAATAACACTGGATAAACAGAAGTAGGCTGGTTCTCAGAACAATGCAACCGGCACCCAGGGTAAAACTACACGAGACAGAGTCCCTTGGGCTGCCTCCCCTTTCGCCTCTGTGAGCCAGGTGAGCACAGCGGTAAGACAGCCCAGGGCGGCCAGCACGGTTCTGTCCATCTCACACCACCAGGCCTGCCTCACTCCCCGGGGAACTGGCCCAGCACTGTGACTCACACTGAGAATGGCCAGGAAGAATGGCAGAAGGTCCCATCCTGCTCAGCCTCACCCCCCCAACCCTCCCCACACCACCCCCGCCAATCCTGAAGGTCAAAGCTGCATCATAGTCTTCCTGGCTTCTCCTCACTCAGTGTGCCACCCATCTGAGCATTCTGGGAAAAATCAACACTCATAATCACAGGAACCTACAGACCAGGAAACCTGGCCAGAAAGGGCCAGAGCTCCTGGGGGTGGAAAGGTCAGGGTATGGCAGATAGATGCAAGGGAAATGAGGAGCCTGAGGAAGAAGAAACAGCGAGGCCAGGTTTTCAGGTCTCAGGCATCTGTGTGGTTCTCTGCAGCCCACAGCACCCTGTGCTTTGTCTCATAGCAGCTGATTGCTAACCCAGCCGCTTACACATCCCTGGGCTGTGGAGGAGAGTGCTGGGGAGACAGGCCTGGAAGAGCACAGGGAACAGACTTGTGCTTTTCATTCCTAACAGGAAAGGCTGCCCTGACTCCCAGCTCTTAGAACAGATGGTAGGGAGGGGGTGGGGGAGGGGAATGGTTTATAAAAATAGAAAAAGGAAACAAAAGCAGAAGAATAAGAAAATAGAGGCCGTACCTCATGCACCTATGCCAGCAGGTACACAAATCTTGAACCCAAAAGGCCATCTAGGATGCACTCCTTTCCCTGGCCTACTCTGTGGGCACTAAGACATCCCGAGAGACTTGGAAGTAGGTGAAGAGGGATGCTTGTCTTGGAACATTGTTGGGATGCAGATGAAATACATTTCTGATTACTGAGTGTCTCTGTGGTTTGCCTCTGAAATAGCACCCAAATCACCAGGATGGCTGTGTTCTCAGATGGTCTTCCTGCAGCTGAGTGGTTGGGCTGCTAGGCTACAGACAGACACCAAAGCTCTGGCCTGTGGACAGTCAGAGGCCTAACTCAAAGACCTCTGGGTTTGGGTCCCTGTGGCCTGGAACTGTTTCAGCTACTCAATCACTGCTCTTAGACAAGGCTCCAGTTCCAAGGAAGCAAGCCAAAATTTAATAGAATGAAGGTTCTTCAAAGAATCAGAAACAGAACTATGCTATGATGCAACAATCTCAACTCTAGATGTATATCTGAAAGAAATGAAAGCAAGATCTTCAAGATTTGTACACTCTTGCTTTCGACTGTATCATTCATCACAGTAGATAAAACATCAACTGGTGACTAGATAAAGAATTGTGTGTATATGTACACACACACACACACACACACATACATATACACACATACACACTTATTATTAATTTCAATACCTCCCAACATGGGGGGAGATGGAGACAGGAGGGTTAGGAGTTCAAGGTGAGGCTTAGCTGCATGAGATCCTTCTTATACAGCTTATAACCATAACCAAAATCAAAGGCAAATGCTCTATGTGTTCACTTAAGTGAGATATTTAGGAAAATCAGAGACAGGGAGTAGAATAGTGGCTGTCAGGCCTAGAGGGGAGGGAAAGGGTGTTATAGAGACATACGGTGTGGGAGGCTGCATGGATTTGGCTAGCCTGGCTGTCCAGAGAACTCCAGCTAGGGTGACAGCTGCGAACCATTGTGGCCAATTTTGACATCGTGACATCGTGGGCTCTGAGGATCTGAACTCAGGTCCTCGTACTTGTGAGGCAAACACTTCACTGCGCCATTTCCTCAGCTTGTTTAGTTTTTTTTTTTTTTTTTTTTTTTTTTTTTTTTTTTTTTTTGTGTGTGTGTGTGTGTGTGTGTGTGTGTGTGTGTGTGTGTGGTAGTGCCTTATTTAGTTCAGGCTG